CCTCCCCAACAAGCCTTTACTGGTACAAAATTGGGCATCAAGAGCTAGAGAAAGGGCTCAGAGCATAAAGCATTTACTGTACAAGTGTGAGAACTGAGTTCAGAATCCTCAGAAGCCACATAAAGCTGGGTGTGGTAGACAATGTCCTTAGCCCCAGTATTCCTATGGCAAGATGTGAAGGGAGACAGACTCCCTGGGAACTTAGAGGCCAGCTGTTCTGAAATACAGAGTAAGCAACAAAAAGAGAGGCATGGGGAAGGCAAGGATAGCACCCCAGATTGTCCTCTGATCTCCACATTTACCCTGTGCCTCACACCAGTGTGCTTGTGCACACGTGTACATGTGCACACGCATGCACACACATACACATTTACGCACATACACACATATATACACATACACACAGACACATATACGCACATACACACATATATACACATACACACATATACACACAGACACATATATGCACAGACACATACACACAGACACATACATGCACATATACATACAAACATACACACAGACACATACATGCACATATACATACAAACATACACACACACATACAATGTACACATTAGTGCCGTGTCATCTCATTTAGCTTCTCTTCCTACATAATAGAGGCACTGGGAAAGTCCATCCCTTACTTTGGGTTTGGGCACACCAATGACCAGGGAGACATGTCATTTAAGCCATGGAAATGGGACACATGAGTGGAGGGGCAGGTGCATCCTCACTCTACTGGCACCAGTACTGACCAGTTAAGAGTCTACCCTGAAATCTGTGTTGAGAAGTTCTCATTTCTAAGCCATCTTCCACAGCCTGAGGATGAAGATGTCACCACCATCTAGACAGTAGCCTTAGGCATCCCTGTTATGGTCCCTCCAGCCCCAGAGATCACTCTTTCCTTTGTTCAATCAACATGGAGGGAGATTTGCTGGACACTGTGGACTGACAGAGTGTAGATCACAGCAGGTAGGAAAACCGACATGCTGATTGTAGTTGCACGTAGCATTCACAGAGCCCTAGGAAGCAGAGCAAGGGAGAAGAAGGGCATTCTTTTGTGAACTGGGCCAGGAACAGAAGAGTTTCTAAAGTGTGAGTGAAACCCACAGGTCCTTACTGAGGAATGGCTTTCAGTTTATTTTATTTACAAAAGAATCGCATGACAAGCTCCCACATTTGCCAGTTTAATAAATACAGATTTAAGTTGCTTGACCACATAAACCTTTTTTAAAAAATTTTTTTTGAAAGTGTCTTGCTATGGTGAACAACTTAGCTTCAAACTCAAAACCCTTCTGTCTCAGTCTTCCCAGTGCTGGGATTAGAGGCATATACCACAATACTGAGCTCATGTAAAACATTAAATATCTCTCTGTCAGAAAATGTACTAAGGGAAATGAAAATCAAATGACAAGCCCAATTTTCAGATATGAAAAATGTTTAAATTATCATTTTAATAGAAGAAATTTACAGTGTATAGTATGCAAACTCAGTACATACAGGCTGTAATCATCAAATCAGGCAGTTAACATTTCCATCCCCTGAATTTGTAAAGCTTTTGATTGACTCATGATAATTATGCCCGTGATAATTATTGTTTGGTTGGGAGTTTCACCCCAGCCCCCTGGCATCCATATATACAAAGAGTCTGAAATGTTTAGTGGAAAGTTCCAAGCCTCCTCCACTGGGAGTGGCCGCAGTCCAGACTCCACCTCCAAGAAAACCCACCAAATGGTGACCCCTCCCCAGGGAGGGTTAAGACCACTCCCACAGGCTATTTAAACTGCCCCCCCAGAGAATGAACATTTGTTTTCTATGGTCATTCTGATTCTCCTTTTCCCCTCTCCATGTTTTCCCCGGGGGGGGGGGGGGGTCACCCAGGAGCACTGGCGTCCATTAAACCTGGGTCTTTTCTAGTTTGATCTGGTTTGATTTGGATTACTGCTTCGGCAGAGAGGCTTGTCGGTTGGAGAAATGCTTCACACTTACGAGCACAGTGTATGCTGAGTAACAGTTCCCTCCAAGATCCATTCATTTATTCCTTCCATCCTGGAGTGGAGCTCCTTAAACAGGAAAGGAAACAACTCGAATAGCTTCAGGAAGTCTCTGAAACTGATCAGATCCACTAGGTCCCTCCCTGCCAGAGTAAGCCATGAAAGCTGAGACTCTCTCTCAAAGAAGCCAAGCCTCAAAGAAGATTCTGACACCAGATCAGCTGCCTGGGAGAAACAGAAACCAGCCAAATGGCCTGGAAGAGGTTTAGACCTCCAACCTCCAAGGTTGAACACTTCCCAACATTTTGAACTGCCTGCAGGCTGTGCCATATGTTTCAGGTTTCCCAGTTTTTGTGAGCTATCACCCATGCTTTAGTGATGCAGCTGTCTTTGAGTCGTTTCTGCTCCTGTAAGTAAACCCTCACTTCTTGTAAGTTAATGCGAGAGGTACTGCAAGAGTTACAAATTGTCTTTATGATGGGGAAACAAAGGAATTGGGATTCAAAGGGAAACTCAGACTCACAGTATACTGGACCAGGTATACTGGACCAGATGGAAGCCACCATGTCCTACAGCTCTGCCCCAGGAAGATGTGATCAACAGCACAAGCTTGCTTCTGCTCCAACCTCTCAAGAGAGCGAGCATGCTTCTTATCCCCACTTATCAGTCCACACATAGCCCCTCAAACCACGCCCTTAGGGCCGGTATGCCAAAAGCTATTGGCTAAATGAATTTTCACAACAGTAAGTAATTCCAATAAAATTCATTGGTTCCCCAAGTTGGACTTTGGTGGTAACCATACTTGGGTCGCTTGTGTGATGCCTATCTGAGGTAGGTAGATGTGTGTGCTATGTCTCCTCAGGAGAAGTTTTGTCACACGACAGAGTAATGTTTCAGTTCATTAATAGAATATGAACGATAATGCACATTGATTAAATAATGGTGGATAATCGCATCACTCACCTGAGCATTATTCTGTGTTTGGAACCTCTCTTCTAGCTTGTCACCTACTATGAAATAAGTTATCATCAGTACTGGAACTTGTGGGACTGGAGAGATGGCTCAGCAGTTAAAAGAACCTACTGTTCTTCCAAAGGACCCAGGTTCAATTCCCAGCACCCACGTGGCAGCTCAATTCTCTGTAACTCCAGTTTCAGGGGACCCAACACCCTCACACAGACATACATGCAGGCAAAACACCAATGCTTATAAAACAGAAATAAATAAATTTAAATAAATAAATGTAAATAAATAATTTTTTAAAGTTTAAAAGAATACTGGAACTTGTTATCTCTGAGGACCCATGGTTTACATTCCCTTGATTACCCAACTTTCTTAGTCTCTAGTAACCATTAATATACATTTGGATCAGATTTTTCTTAATGTTCACATACCAATAAGAAGATGAAGTATTTTTATGTGTATATCTGACTTACTTCACGTAGCATATGTCTTCCACTCCCAATCATTTTGCTTCAAATGACAGAATGTTCATTCCTTATAATGGCTGCATAATATTCCACTATGCCTATATACCACATTTAGTGTGCATTAGGTCACTGAAAAACATTTGAGTGTCCATGTGTTGTCTGCTATGAGTACAGCAGCCATAAACTTGTGCTTGTGGGTATCATTTAATATATAAAGAGTTGGTATAAATTAATAGGAAAAATAGTGACTCAAAAGATAAATTTCAGGGAATTAGCAATCACTGATATAGGTGTTCAAATTAAAACAAGAAGTTATTACTATTACGTCCTGGTAAGGCAGTGGATGGAGAGACTTCTGCTCTCCTAATTCCTGCTTAGAAAGGTAAATTGGATTTTGTTGTTGTTGTTGTTGATGATGATGTTTGTTTTTTGTGATAGGGTTTCTCTGTAGCTTTGGAGCCTGTCCTGATATTAACTCTAGTAGATCAGTCTGACCTCAAAATCACAGAGATCCGCCTGCCTCTGCCTCCCAAGTGCTGGGATTAAAAGTGTGCGCCAGCACCACCTCCTGGCAGATTGTCTTTTTGTAATGAAATAATCATAAATTTGAGAAGACTTTGTCTTAATTAGGGTTCTATTGCTGCAGTGAAACACCATGACGAATAGCAAGTTGGAGAGGAAAGGGTTTATTTGACTTGCATTGTTCATCATCATAGGAAGCCGGGTCAGGAACTCAAATAGAGCAGGAACCTGGAGGCCAGAGCTGATGCAGAGGTCGCAGAGGGGTACTACTTAATGACTTGCTCCTCGTGGCTTCCTCATCCAGCTGTCTTATATAACCCAGGATCATCTGTCCAGCAATTGACTCACCCAGCCCACAATGGGCTGCTCCCCATTGTTGAAATAAGTGCGGCGGGGCTGCGTCCCCAGCCGCCTGCTAGCTTATGCCCCGAAATAACAACACACAAACTGTATTCATTTAAACACTGCTTGCCCATTATATCTAGCCTCTTCTCGGCTAACTCTCGCACCTGGACTAGCCCATTTCTAATAATTCGTGTAAGCACCCCAAGGTGCGCTTACCGAGAAGATTCTAACCTATGTCCATCTTGGGTTGGAGCTTCATCGTGTGTGCCTCAGAGAGCAGAGCTATCGGGAGAGCGGAGCATGGCGNGAGCTATCGCGTCTACCCGGGAGAGCTGAGCATGGCGTCTCTGCTCCAGAGAGCAGAGCTGTCGGGTCTGAGCTCACTTCCTCTTCCCCCCAGCATCCTATTCTGTTTACTCCTCCCACCTATGTTTTAACTTATCAGGGCCAAGGAGTTTCTTTATTGCTTAACCAATGAAATCAACAGATTGATATATGATACTTCCACATCACCCCATCAATCTCTAGTTAAGGAAATACCCTTAACTATAGGTTTGCCCAATAGTCCTAGCTACTGAGTCATTTTCTCAATCAAGGCTCCCTCCTCTCCAGTGACTCTATCTTGTGTCAAGCTGACATCAAATCAGCAGGTGAGGGTGAAGGGTTAGCAGAGTGTCCTCCTTTCCTTTCTGCTGGGAACCAGTTGCTTCCTGTCTAAATGGGCAAGTTCATGAAACTGGGAAAGTGGTGTTGGTCTTGGCTGGACGCGACTCCGGACACAAAGTCATCATCGTGAATAACATTGATGATGGCACCTCAGACCACCCTTACAGCCATGCCCTGACAACTGGAATTGACCTGTATCCCCGAACAGTGACAGCTGTCATGGGCAAGAAAATCGCCAAGTGGTCAAAGATCAAGTCCTTTGCGAAAGCTTGTGAGTACAATCACCTGATGCCCACAGGTCCTCTGTTGACATCCCCCTGGATAAAACCCGCTGTCAACAAGGATGTCTTTAGGGACCCAGCCCTTAAACGCAAGGCAAGGTGGGAAGCCAAGGTCAAGTTTGAAGAAGGATATGAGACAGAAAAGAACAGATGGATTTTCCGGAAGCTTTGCTTTTAGGTATGTTTTTGTTTCTATCATTAAAAGTTTAACAAAACAAACAAACAAAAAACAGCCAACACAGACTTATATGCAAAAAAGTTCATTGTACCAATATTAACAGTTGCCAAAATTGGAAACAATTTAATTTTTTTAACGTGTGTGTGCTTGTCTACGCGTATCTCTGTGCATCACGTGTGTGCCTGCTGCTTGTGGAGGTCAGGAGAGGGCATCGAATCCCCTGGAACTGGAGTAACAGATGGTCACAAGCCATGTGGATACTGGAGCAGCTACTCTGAACTGCCGAGCCATCTCTCTAGCCCCTGGAAACAATTTAAATACCTCAGAGAGGTAAATCAACTGAAGTCCCAAACAGTAAATGAGATGTAGATGTGCATGCGGGTGATTCCTCTGTTTCAGAAAGGGAGAATACTGCATTTCAAGCAGTGGTCATCTCAGGATGATGGATGTATCGATGCCTCTTCCAAACATTTCCTGTATTTTCTAAATTAATATGAACACGTGTCTCTTTAATGTGAAAATAAATGTTTATTTCTTTAATTTGGTTTTACAATTCAGGGTCTCACTAAATGCCCAGACTGGCCTCAAACTTCTGAGCTCCCTGCCTCAGTTTCCCCAAGTATTGGTATTGCAGCCTTGCATTACACATTCTGCTAAAAATTTAAGTGTGTGTGTGTTTGTATGTGAGTACCATGTGCATGCATGTACTGATATGCATGTGTGTATACTGATGTGTATGTGTGTATATGTACTGATGCATGTGTGTGCACAGATGTGCATGTATGTGTCTGTGTGTGTACTAATGTGCATGTGTGTATGTATACTGATATGTGTGTGTGTGCATGTATGTGTGTACATATCTATACAGATGCACTTGCCCATGTGTGCACATAGGGAGGCCAGAGGTTGAGATCAGATGTCTTCCTCTACTGCTGTCTACTGTTTGCTCAGACAGGGCCTCACTATCCAGCCCTGGATGACCTGGGACTCAGAACTTGCTATGTCTTGAATTCACAGAGATCTGTTTGCCTCCAGAGTCCTGGCATTAAAAAAGGCATGTGCCACTATGCTCGGCCCCACCTTATTTTTTGAGACAGGTCTCTCACTGGGCCTCACACTTGCCATTTAGGCGGCCCTAGTTGGCCAGTAAGCTTCCAGGACCCTCCTGTCTTGGCCTTGCCAGTTCTAGGATCATAGACACACATTGCCACCTCAGCTTTTATGCAAATTCAGGATCCAAATGCAGATTCTCACACCTGTGCAACAAGCACTTTACTCAGCAGGCCATCTCTCCAGACCCCAAACTTTCAATTAAAAAAAAAACATAAATCTTCTCATAAGGGGGAAGGAGGTTCTTAGCCCAAAAATGGTGTGAACTACCAGTCTTCAGGAAAGCCTTCCTTGGAAGTTCACGCCCAGAATGGATGTTTGTATGTATAAAGTAAATTGGATGCCGTATTGAGCTGCAATGCTTCTCCCCATAATCACAGCCTCAATGCAGACTAGATTTCTCAAACAAGCAAATATCCTATCCTTTTGTTGTTGTTGTTAACTTTCCCCTCCAGTTGTGGATTGAAATATGTCAAACACCCAGGACGCGTGTTCTCATGTTTTCTCATACCTTCCTAACAGCTTCCCAGAGAAGTGTCTACGGGACTTTAAAAAGTCTCAGTGGCTCCCTGCCTCTTAGCCACTCCTTTCCTGAGGTCTACTGCACATCCACTGCGCTGTGAGTGCCGGCAGCTGTATTTGCACCTTGTAGTTTCACTCTGGACGGCAGCCGCATTGGCTGGATGGAGCCTTAGCTCCCGAGCAGAAGAGCAAGCCAGCAGCTTGCACCCAGGTTGTAAAGATAAGCAGGGCCCTTCATGGTTTCTCCCGAGTGAACAAGGAGTGTTTCAGTGGGTTGAGGAAAGACTAGTAACACCTCAACAGGCTGTGATCCTCGTGGTGGGGGGCTTCTGGGTTCAGAGGCAGCACCGCTCCGGCTGGAACCTGGAAAGCAGTGCTAACTCCACAGCTAGTCTTCAACTCCAGGCCCGTGGAGGCTCCCTCAAGAGCACACTGTCCTCAGCACAGTCATCTCCAGTGTCCCCTTCCTTGCTCTCCAGACTCCTGTGTCCAATCATCCACTTGCAGTCTCCACTTCTCCAGCGTTGACAAGCAATCTCTAGAACTGCCATCTAAACCTCTTCCTCTTGAAGTCCTCCTGGTTCATCAGTGGCCACCCTTCCTCTCTAAATGCTCAGCCAAGCTGGACAGTTCCCAGGTGCTTCTCTCACAAACTCCATTTTTCAACTGACCACTTCTCTGGACGTCGCCAGGGGGTAGGTGTGGTGGACGTTGCTTGTTTTGCCTGGACTGCAGTCATCTGGCCTGTGTGGATTGTCAGGAGTCACTGGTTGGCCTCTCTGCGGAACGTCTACCTCTAGTACAAAGCATATCATTCGCTCTCGCTCAAAACCCTTCACTTGCCTTTGCTCTCCCAGTTCTCGTCATGGCCCACAAAGTCCTCTTTGAGTTGTCCCCACCCCCTCCCTTTGTAACTCTGATTCCCATCTCCAGTCTCGTTTTTTCAGTCTTCAGGCTATCCACTCTTGGTCAGCCAGAACTGGCGTTCCCATTACGGCTCTTCCTTAAATGCCTATCACACACTCGCCCCTGGGGCTTTGTACTTTCTCTCTTCTACCTGAGATATTTCTTCCCTAAACATCTGTTAGATCCTTTCCTCATGTCACTCAAATCTCTATTCACAAGTCACCCCTGCTAGAGAAGCCCGGCTTCTAAAGCAAAGCGATACCCCTTCTCCAGTGGTTGCCACGTGTGTTTTTCAAGAGGGAACGGCTCCAGGGAGAACCATTCACACCATAACTACCAACAATTTGCATATCCAGACATTTCATTGCAACAAAATATCTCGGGGAAGGCGTGTGTTTCCTAATTTGCACGAAGAGACAGAGAGTTCCAGCAGCCCCGCTCCTTCCTGCCTGCTACCTCCTCCCCACTCCTCAACACCCGGTCAGAGCCATCCAGCTCCCCTTCCTTAAGCTCCATGAGATGAGGCTGTTTGCCCGGTTTTGGCCACTCCGTGATTCTCAGTGTCTAGAACAGTCCTTGGAATATATTGGACACTCCAGGCTTTTGAATGGGTCATTTATTATCAGTCATGAGCAACCCATCAATAGCAGATTCTTAGGAGGAAAACAAAACCAAAAATCTCCTTGTCACCGTCTGGAACCATACATATCCAAAACCCCATACTAATAAGTCTTGCTTTATGATCAATGTATTACATGTATTCTGGCAGCTGTGAAGCAGTTCCCACCTCTATAGAGACCGTACTTCCAAATCACATTTACCCGGAAAGAACTTGGTTCCTAGGATCAACCACCAAACCATACTACAACCTCACATGTGTTCAATAATGAAGCTTAACACAGTGGAGGAAAGTGTACACTTTACTGTTTTGTAACAATGGACACAATATTTATTAGTAACAATTTTTGAATAACGGGAAATTACAGCAATCTGCCTCTTAATACTGCATTGAAAATATAAAGTCATAAACTTTTATTTTAAACGAACTGATTCAAAAAACTGTCAGGAAGGGTAGTATTTATGAGTACAGAAGAGTTCGAGGGAAATTAAAAACCGAAGGCTTTATTTATACATTTAAAAAAAAAAAAAAGGAAAGAAAACATGGAGGAAACCAGCAATTACACTCCCGAAAGTTCAAATGAGATAACGGGAGATGCTTCCCCAGCTATTTAATTAAAAGAATCGCGGGCTCACACAGTTGTTCTGAAGCACTGCATGAATACCAATGAGCACGTCACGTGACAGGATGCCGACCCAAGAGCATAACATGCTAGCACTACCATTTTTTTAAAGGAGTGGGAGAGTGGCCTTCTAACTACAATAGCATCCACTTATTAATATTTAGATGCTGTTCACACTGAGCCCTGCAGGGACCACGCAGAGGCATCTTCGAGAGTGAGTGGCAACCACAATAGCTGGCATGACAGAAGACAGGCTGGGCGCAGCATGTCCACTGTGGCAGGCAGTGTTCTCTCACTGGCCCTGTCGGTGACGGCGACAGAAGCTAGCATCAGAGCCAAACAGAAAAGATGAGAACAAAACAGGAGATTCCGGATAGACAGAGGCAGTGCTGCCTGCCCAACTTCTACTGCAAAAACACCAAGGCACACACGTGAGATTAGCACCAACATTCTGAGCAGTTTCTCCTAAATCTGTAATGAGCAATCACTTACAGATTAAAATGGAAATCAGCGAAGGATAAGCATGAAAAACAGTGTGTATTCCCTCCTGCGTCTCTCTAGGAAAATGAAGTCCTGTATCGAGAAAACACCGTTAGCCTTGCTCTCAATCAGTTGTCAGGTCAACCACAGTGAGTTCCCTAGTGAGACAGGGCCTTTAAAGAGACACTGAAAATTAATTGAGCTCAGAAGGTTGGGTTAAGGCCCCAACCTTCTAATGTCTTGACATCTACAAGAAATAGGAGAGACCAGGTATGCACGCACATGGAAAAGGCCGCCGGAGAATACGTGTCCAAGAGGTTGTCTGTATGTAGCCAAGGAGAAACAGAAACCATCAGTGTTGGCATCAACTCTTAGACTTCTGGACTCTGAACAGTAAGAAAGATGAAGTCCAGTTAATGGAGCCTTTAATATTACAACAGCCCAAGTGGCTGACTACATCAGTACTCCCAAAACTTCCTTGATCTTGGAATATCAACTTTCCAAACCGCTCAGATGTTGTCTAGGGTAATTTTAAAAATTGGTCTTCAGTTGTCTTGCCACAAACACTTGCACTTCTCATCTTCCCCAGGACATGTCCGTCCTCAGATAGTATTGTGTCTCCACACTCACCCAGCTAAGACAAATGAAGTACATGTGAATCAGCATTGCTCCCCTTTTGTAACAGCGTTCAAATGCTGCCCCTTGCTTACCAGGCCTTAGGAACACTAGAAAGACTTAGCG